TACATAAGTCTAATTATGAATTACTATCATGAATTATTTTTGTCCCTCCTCCCCCCCCCTACCCTCTAACCTCATTCGCATTTTTTATAATTAAGTACTTGATATACTTTTAGGCACTTTGTCAAAGTACATCTTTAAGCATGCAAAATGTTGTCAAATGGAAACGAAAGCAACTAACTTCATCCGGCTTGCTCTGATCGCATTTTCGATCCTCCTTGAGATACAACGGCTTGATGGGTATACCTTCGGGAGTGTGCCAAATCAATGAGTTTGGATCTTTTCCCTTCATAGCTTTTTTGGCCATTTCGCTCCATGTCGGGTCGATTGGTAGTGGCTGATAGCCGGTGCTAGAGGATGCAAGTCGTAGGGCCTGGAAAGCGAAGAGGTGCATACAGAAAGCATATGATGCTTATTCTGAGCCGTATTAGAAAAAAATGGTTTTTTTTTTGCTCTTATATGTATCCCACGACAAATGATCAAATGAACACTGTTTGATCGCGAAAACTTGTTTAATTCCAAACATTTTTGCCTTGAAAAATTTATTTTAGCGGACTAGTTTCAACTTAGATTTTAAGTGAAAAACGGCATTCGAACACCTTTTTACGTAATCAAAGGGGTTTGAAGTTTTGTGACGCTCCAGCAACTTTTAATTTTGAAATATCATATGGTTATAATAGTTCAGCATATCAATTAACCGTAACGACATGTCTCCAATGTTGTTAGAACTATCTGTGGCCCGATAGTAATGATGCCTACGCCAGCGCTATAACGACGTACAAACTTATATTGTAATGCTACCGTAATGGGAAGAGATAGAAGAAGTAGAGATTCAAAAGCAAGCGAGCCTTTCAAGATGAACCATTGAGGCTGGAAAAGAGGAAGTAAAGGATTTAAGATCAAATAATGGTCACCATTTTTGGGAAAGCCCCTTACATGTATGTACCAACAGCTGAACATTTGGTTATCTTGACATTTACATAGATTAATTGCGGACAACAGCGCTGCACTTATTTCACGAGACGTCTCATGGAGTACTTATTTTACGGATTTCAAAATGCTAATGCGACCATCCTTTCTTGATTTGTTAGATATCCAGTGCCATTGATAATGCCGTCTTCATTTATTTCTTATGTTTTGAATGCATTTTATTTCATTTTTTCGATTGTTTTTCAAGTGCTTGTTTTTCCGATTAAAAGCTCTATAAAATTTTGGGGCTTCTCTTATTGAATTTGAAAATCATGAACAAAAGCCGGTACACTATCACTTTACATTAACTGAAAATCCAATAAAATGCCGGGTGAAAAGCATTGCACAGAATGTTTAGAGCTTCTACTTTTAAG